GTGACCCTGGAGCACAAAACCAGACATAAGTTGCTGGGGTATATTTGTAGCAATAGCCAGCAATACGTTGTATGGGTCAAAATTATCCATTTTTCTTTTATGCCAAAAATCATTAGGATATTAAGTAAAGATCATGTTCCATGAAGATATTTTGTAAATGTCCTACCGTAAATATATCATAACTTAATTTAAGATTAGTAATATGCAATGCTAAGGACTTCATTTGGACAACTTTAAATGCGATTTTCTTCAATATTTAGATGGTTTTGCACCCTCAGATTCCAGATTTTCAAAAAGTTGTATCTTGGCCAAATATTTTCCTATCCTAACAAACCATACATCAATGGAAAGCTTATTTATTCAGGTGATGTATAAATCTCAATTTCAAAAAATGTACCCTTATGACTGTGGTCCAGGGTCACATATATTCTACATTTGATTTGATTATAGATATATCTTGAAAATACACTACGATTCAAAAGTTTGGATAGATTTTATTTTTTTGGAAAGAAAGAAAGACAATTAATACTATTAATTTATATATATTTTAATTTAATATTCAAATAATGCAGTTTTTTCCTTTTATTTACAAAAAATCATGAGAAAAATATATCACAGTTTCACAAAAGTATTTAGTAAATATTAAGTAGCCTAACTGTTTTCAACATTGATAAAAATCGGAAATCTTTCTTGAGCAGCAAATCAGTATATTAGAATGATTTCTGAAGGATCATGTGACACTGAAGACACTGAGTAATGATACTAAAAATTCAGCTTTGCATCACAGGAATATTGCATTTTAATTATATTTTCAATTACATTCCAATAGATAGCAGTTATTTCATACTATTACTTTATTTTTTATCAAATAAATTCAGTCTTTGTGAGCATAAGAGATTTCTTTCAAAAATCTTATGAACCGACCATCATCCAGCATTCAGTATTGATCCACCCTATCTGTCAGACCACAGCTCCACCTCTGATTATTACAAATTTGCTCTTAATAAAATCTCATTTACATAAGGAAGTGGGCCACATTTACCAAGGAACCAAACCCAATGTTTAGAGCATAGACTACATACTGCTTAAGTTGTCTGACTTGCTGAATAGACAGTGTTTGTGCGCCTGTCACGGTGTAACAGATGTCTTTTTTCAAACAATGGGTGAGTAATTCACTCCATTATTTTATATAGCTTCATAAAAGCCTATATTGCAAAATACTGAGTTGTTAAATAGGTTTATGGTGCATTTTCATAGTGTACCTGCTGAATTCAGCACACAATGTGTGACAAAAATAGACTCCAGAATACTAGTCGTCGCACATGCTCTTCTGTTACGCAGCTTTGTGTACAGTGTGAACGCTGTAACTCGTTAACATGGACAAGCAAAATAAATGCATACTGCCTTTGCATTCAAAGTGAGTTTATTGCTTTAAAGCATGAATAAATTCCCCTTTTCCTTCACTGTAACACAGTGGCACCAGAAATGTACTCTAACCAGCCAAACCAAAGCATCCTGTGCTACCTCAGCTGGCCACTGCATGTGTGTGTGTGTGTGTGGGGCAGCAAGTAGCTGTGCTCCATCCATTCGGCCTACTCTCATACACCCAGTGCCAAACGGGCAGCCAAACAGTTGTCCTTAAGCTTTTCTCTTTTCTTTTCTCCCTCTACCTTTTTTAGAGTTTGTTTTAAAATACCCTCGACCACATTTCTCTCTCTCTCTTTCTCTTTACGACTGTTTGCTTTCAGAGTTTAAATGGTTTGTGGGGACGGCCCGTCTCACATCGTTACTGGGCAACGGTCTTCAGGAAGGAATTCAGAGCCCTCAGTAAATGTGCTTAGGGCTTAGACTCATGCAGCTCTCCAAAAACATGCTGTTGAAACAAGAGCGCCGAGTGCATTAAAGGCCCATTCCTCGCACTGGGAAAACAGGCGCGTTTGTTTTTATTTCAGTTTCATGAACAGCACAAGTCATTGAGGGAGTGTGGTTTCACTAGGTGGCGCTATCCCAAGCTCATTTTCACACCGTTATCAGGCGTCTTTTGTCCGTTTTATGCTTTTCGGTGTCATTGCCGGTGGGCAAGCTGCGTAAATGAATCAGTTTCTCTGTCACTGCTATAACCGGCCCTGCGGACTTGTTCAAACAGAAGCGGTCTGTGCCTCCCGTGTTTCGGGCCTGAATAGAGGCCTGTTTGGAGATCTGGTGGAACATGTTGTATGACTTTCCCTGCTGACCTCCTGAGAATGCACTGACATTAAATCACAGATGGAGGGGTTTGTATGTTTAGTAAGGCCTGTTTATCTTCTGAGGGTTATAATGTAATAATTATCAATTTTTTAGAGAGAGAGAAAGCTGTGTGCTGGTCAGAAGCTGTTGCCCTATGGTTTGTTTCAGAGCGAAGCCATCCATAGCCAGACCCATCTGATCTCAATTTTCTCCTGTAGACAAAAACCAACAACAGCGACGAAAAAAACCAACAACAACAAGCACATGCTTGTGTCCGCACATCGGAAGGAAATCAATAAAAGAGGGAGACAGAGTAGAAAGATTAAAGGAAAAGCAGAAGACGGAGGGGGACGATGGAATTTTCAGCAATTATAGTTTGGCAAAACACAACAGCGGTTGATGTAGGAATCAACTCATTTAAAGTTTATCCTTTTATGCCTGACTCTATTTCAATGCAGTACTGTTGAAAAAGAAAGACATGAAAAAGCCTTTTGGAAATGAATGGCTTGATGAGATCATTTAACTTTATATATTTAACCTTATCATGCTCAAAATCAATCCTCAATGTGAAGTTTTATACATACCACATATGCCACATACCACACATAATGCATATGGAGCAATTTATGAAATTTCATTCTTGTCAGGAAACAGCTGATCTGTTTAACCCAAAATTAAATCTAAATAATTGGTGGATGCATACTTATCAACATCAAGAATTTATGTTAAAAATAATACTGAAAGTGAAGGTTTTTCATCTGGTCAGAGTTGTTTTATTAAAAAAAATTTTTTTTTTAAATTTCACTTTTTAAAATGGTCCTGCAGAGTGACAAATGCATTTTTAAAAGTATAAATTTAACTTGTATTTAAAAAAAATAATAATATTGTCACACCCCTGTGGACTGTCTATTATGGTTTCTCCCTCTGTGTCCTTATTTGGTTGTTCCTGTTCTCATTATGAGTTAATCACCTCATTGTGCTCACCTGTCTGCCCCTCATTATCCACCCTATATCAGTTCCTGTCCATTGTGTTCCAGTTTGTCAGTTATTGTGAATGTTACCCTGTGCGTGTGCTCCTACCCTCTTGTTAAGTTATTAAAGGTTTCTTGTATCCTTCATCCTCGTCGTCCTGCCTGTTCTCTGGCACAGCAACACCGGGACAGAATAACTGACCCAAAACAAGATGTCAAACGGCTGAAGACAGGCTTTGGTGTCTGCGGCAGGGTGGTCGAGATTTGGAGAGGTATGTGGAGGAGTTCCTAGAGCTCTCTCACCAGGTGAGCTGGT